TTTTAATTATTATTTTTTTTTACTTTTTAAATTCACTTAATCTAGATACATTTAAAAATTATACATTTTGTACCAATTTTTTTTTTAAATTCATTAAATACAATAAAATACGAAAAAATATTTTTTTTTATATTTTTTGTATTCAATGAATTTTGAAATTTTTTTTTTTACACAAATTTTATACTTTCTAAGTATATATAGATTAAGTGAATCTAAAAACTAAAACAATTAATTATTTTTTAAAAAAAAATTCACTAAAAATATATATATATATATGAATTGAAATTTCATAAAATTGTTTTTGAAAATTTCAAACCAATATTGTCCTAAGGAAATTAGTTAATCAAACTTAAAATGATTTTATAAAACAACACACACTTTTATATCAAAAAAATGTACTTGAGGCTAAATACTCTATTTTATTATCATTTTTGTTATTACCATTTATTTATTTTTCATCATTTTAAAAAACTTATAGGGTGATTTTTAATCTACGAAAACTAAAACTAAAATTAGTTATATATGTATATACAGGAATTGGATTGTTTCAACTCTACAAATTATTATGTTATCGGTTGTATAGTATTCGGATTCCTATTGAAAAATGATCAATCTAAACCTACTAAAGGTGTGAGTAACTTTGTGTACTATTCTTATCGTGTAAAAAATTGTCACCCTTATTCCCAATTAATTTGAACATTTTAAGCTAAAATAAAACAGAAAATAAAAATCCAATTCAATTAATCATAGTTCACATGATAAATAATGTTTAAAAATATTGTATATTTTTTTTGTTAGATATATAGTTTCATGCAGAAGGTACAATTTTTGTAAATTTGTGATGATGTATTTAAAGCACATAATTTTTTTTTGAAAGATGGTGTACATTTTTATTACATGGAGTAATCTCATGTAAGATAAATAATCTTTTTTCAACTTTTTAGATTGCAGATCGCAGATCATTCTCCATCACAAACCAAGATCGCTAATCAAGTCCTCTTCGCAGATGAACGACATTGAAACCCTCTAATGAGTGATGAACCAGGTCGAAATCAAAATTTTAAATTCTCGTCTGAAATCGAAACTAGGTCGAAATCCAAGTATTTTTTTTATTTAAAATTCATTTGAAATTGTTTCGTTGCTCTAAAAATTTGTTGGAAATTGTCTGATTACGTTGAAATTGCTTGCTTACTTGCTTCTTCTTGTTGTTGTATGAAATTGCTTGTGAATTTTTTTTGAAGGGTATGATTCTGAAATTGCTTGATTCTGTTTTAAAGTCATACTGAAATTGTTTGATTCTATTTTTTTTTTTAAATTATGTTTTAAATAATTTCTGTTTTAAATTTTTTTTTTTTAAAATGTTAGTGAATCCGATTTTACAAAAAATTAACTCTGTTTTGCTAGCTGGGAAGGAAGGTGGTGGGAGGGAACGAAGAAAACGATTGGTTTTGGGTGAATTGGGAGATTTGGCAAATACAAAAGCTTATGTCAAAAGCCCAAGCTTTGATATTTGTCAAATTTGATAGTTGCGATATGAAACTATTAGAGAATCACTTTCTAGCCACAGCTGCTAAATTATAGCTTTAGCAACTCCACTAGCAAACTACTGGAGATGCTTACGTGCCGTCTAGCAAATCATTGGAGATGTCGTAAGGACACATACCCTTCTTATCTTAAAAAAAGAAAAGAAAAATATATTGTTAGCACACATGTTAATAAAATTGATAAATTATAAATACGTTTTTTTTGAGATTTATTAGAAATACAAAAAATTTCCCTTCACATTTGCATTTTTGAGGTTTTTGATCACATCACAAATGATATCCTTCTATTCATTTAGTAAGGAGGTTTAGGGCTATTTTAGTCACAAAAGACAAAATAGGTTATTTTAGCCATAACAAACAAAATATCATATCCAACCCATAATCATTATACTCTTCTTTCACAAAAAAAGTCAAAAAAGTCATTCTCAAACCAAACTTTTTAGCCCAGGCTAAAATAGTCCAAAAAGCCAACCCACTTTCCAAACGGAGGCTGCCAAGTTTGGCAATACAAAAATAATTCATCTTTTCATCTTTTTATCTTTTTTCCATCACATCATTTCTTTACTTTTCTGCACATCTTTTTATAAAAAAGACAAAAAATACACTTATTTAGGTCATCCCAAACAACCATTTTCTTTCCCAATAAATACCTATATTAACTTATTCAATAAAAAACTTTATTTATTTTTCTTATCTTACATTCTTTATTCTCTATTTTGTCCCAATTAGTAACACTACTTTACCTAATTATCACATCGTCATCTTTCACTCTTGATCAATACTATTTTGGGAAGAGATTTTTTGGGCTTTTTTTTTTGCTAAAATAGTCACAAAAGATAAAATAAACTATTTTAGTCATAACAAACAAAACATCACATCCAACTCATAATCATTTCACTCTTCTCTCACAAAAAAAATCAAAAAATCAAAAAAGCTAAAAAGTCATTCCCAAATCAAACTTTTTAATCCAGACTAAAATAGTTTAAAAAGTTAAAAAGTCAAAATGTCAACCCACTTTTCAAATGAAGCCTGTGTATCAGTAAGGATAGTTAGAGAATATTGTAGTAGGATAGAAAACTGAATTCGATGTTGGATAGGTGAAAATGTGGACAAAAAAATAAGGTAGCGTTTGGTAGAGTTTTGTATTAAGGAATTTCCACCAAAACTCCATTTCCATGGAGCACACTTTGGCTTCAATTTCCCATTCACTCGGTAATGGTTTTGAGCAACCAAATATACCACGTGAATCACAACGCGGCATAGAACGCGTTACCACTTTGACCCGAGTAAATTGACACTCGGGGCCCACCTAAAAAATAGACCTAACTTAGGAAAAATTAATCATTTCCAACATGAAGGAAACGATCGGTTTTGGGTGAATTAGGAGATTTGACAAATATCAAAGCTTATGTCAAAAGCACAAGCTTTGGTATTTGTCAAATTTGATAGTTGCAATATGGAACTATTAGAGAATCACTTTTTAACCACAGCTGCTATATTATAGCTTTAGCAGCTCCACTAACAAATTGTTAGCACACATATTAATAAAATTGATAAATTATAAATACGTTTTTTTTTAGATTTATTAGAAATACAAAAAATTTCCCTTCACATTTGCATTTTTGAGGTTTTTGATCACATCAGAGCATCTCCAACCTATCCTTCAAAACTTCAAATATGAAGGATCTTTTCTAATTTTGAGCTCCAACCCATCCTTCATTTCTTCCTCCCAAATGAAGGAAGATGGATTGATCTTTCAAATATGAAGGGAGGATGAACAAAATGAAGGAGCCTCTAAAACACTATTCACTCTACATTTTTTATTATATTCAAAATAACTTTTAATGTGTAAATTTAATTTTTATAAAATTGACATCAATAAAAAGTATAAAATCATACCTTTAAAATGAGTATAATATTAAATATATTTTACAAAAATTTTAAAATTAAATATTTATTAATGAACAAAAATTACTTTTTGATTGGAGTTCGAATGAAAGAAATGAAGATTTGTGATTGGAGTTTGAATGAAAAGTAACTCATCTATATTTACTTTTTCAATAAAAAATATTATTTTCATCCTCTTGTGAAGAGGATGTGGTTAGAGATGCTCTCACAAATGACATCCTCCTATTAACAGATGTATGAAATAAGTAACCGTTTTCTTTCTCGATAAATACCTATATTAAGGCCTCGTTTGGGAACTTTCATTTTTAGTTCAAAAGTAAAAAAATTATTAAATTAGCCAAAAAGGCAACAACCTATACCAAAAAATCAAAGATTCTCTTTTCTCTCTATTTTTTGCACATCTTTTCGTAAAAGGTCAAAAAATATCCCAAACATACTAATTTTTTTTAGCTCATATTTTAGCCAAATAGTCAAAAAGTTACTAAATTAACATGTTCTCAAACGGGCCTAACTTATTCGATAAAAAATTTATTTTTTTCTTATCTTACCTTCTTTATTCTCTATTTTGTCCCAATTGGTAACACTACTTTACCTAATTATCACATCGTCATCTGTCACTCTTGATCAATATTACCGCTATTATCTAAACATATTTAGTGTATCAGTAAGATAGTTAGGTCATGTTTGTTTGGGTGGACATGAGCTTGGGATTGGACTAATAATCCAATAAAATTATTAATCCAATGTTTGGTTAAATAATTGAAGTACGGATTAATTATTTTAAACTTGACTATTAGTTAAGATAGGATACATAATCCAACGAATTCGTAATCCTAGGACTATTAGTCATGGGAATGCTAATCCAGTCCGCCCAAACAAACATGGCCTTAGAGAATATTGTAGTAAGATAGAAAAGTGAATTCGATGTTGGATAGATGAAAAAGTGGAAAAAAATAAATTTTAAAGGTCAAAGTGGGAGAGTGATCCAATGTAAAAGGGCCATAGTGTAATTTATCTTAATTTTATTTTCCTATTAGAGAGGACAAAAAATTTCTGATAATAAAATATTCATAATTTTCAAAACGTAAGGAGAAATTCATATTTTTTGACAAGGGTAAATTACAAATATATTTGTTGAGATTTACTTCAAGTACATATTACCTTATATGGTTTGGAAAATTATAAATACATTTTTGTTAGAATTTTTTATTTAATAGAATTAATAAAAAAAATAAAATTCATAATTATTCTCCTATACAATAATAAAATTATATAAATTATTAATTGAAAGATATTTCTAATATTATTAAAAAGAGTTAATTAAATTGATAATTTATCAATAAAAAGAACAATTTATTATAAAATTAAAAATCTCAAAAAATAAGATATAATTTTTAAAATCATAAAAAATATTCGTAAACCCTTTTGACAAATATCACAAAACTGTGTGTAATTTACAATAATAAAATTCATAAACATGATAAATAATAAAAAATGTAATAAATTTACGGATCTGGATTGAACCTGTGCGCGCGGTACACTGTCCGTTTTCACACTTGACTTGCCTTTCGGAGAAAATATAAATCTGTGCTAGAGAAAAAAAGAAGTTTGTGTTTGACAGTGATTAAAAACCCTAATAATTCGGAGACTCGAAAAACATTGGATTGTACATTTTTACAATCATCATCCTCAATACAATCATCATCCTCAATTCAATTAAAAATTTTATAAAAGAAAAAGAAAAAAGAAAGAATAATTCCTCTCTTCAATAATTTAATCATCAAGTAATTATCTCTGGATCCGAGAGATTTACCTATTTATCAGTGATTGGAGACGAAGAACTTGAGATTTCAGATTCCAAGTGGTTTCCTTTTTCAGACATTGAAGTTTGATGCGAAATTTGAAGGCAATTTGATGCTTATTGAGCTTGGTTTCTTTGTAGAAGGTACTGTTTTTTAGATCTCTCTGTGTTTGAAACTTCTTTGATGTTTTTATGTTGGTGTATAACTCGTGACGTTTTTCTTAATTGTTTCTCATTATTATTTTTGGAAATTTTGTTCGATTTGTGTTCCTATATTGATAACATACTGGATTTGATGCACCTGTAGGAGATTCAGAGGATTTATACGATTTTTTTTGATGATATATGGTGAATTAATCACTGAAATTCAATAATGGGTTCTTGTTAGAAGCGATTATGGAAAATATTGTTTCTTGAAGGTCTCCTTAGCTGTTTTGGGAAAGGAATACAAACTAGTTCATGGAAGGAACTTGAAGATCAAACTTGGGCCAATTAAGCTTTTGAGTTATTTGTGGAAGCATGAACCAAGAATTTAATAAATCATATATTTGAGCGACTTGTGATTTGGAAAAAGATATTTGGAAGTTAAGGTAGTTAATCATTTGGAGGGTTTGTGCTTTATGGCTTGGACAACCCTGACTTCAGGTTCAGCTAAAGGAGCTTCAACAATGGTTGCCTATCCAAGGGCTCTTTTATCGATTGCAGTTTCAGTGTGTGGACTAGCTTTCTTTTTAATCCTTGCTTCATTGCTTCTGGTGACACAACCAATTGGGTCTACTGTTCGTGGTTACTTCTATGGTGTTGATAATTTGCGGCAATTTGATTCAATGTCTTGGAGCAATAAAACAATTCATGATTCTTTCAACGATGGCACCCAAGATTTGAGAAAATGGGTGTCGGGGTTAAATGAAACTGCAAGTAATTCCCGACACAATGATGACAGAATTGATGATTCTTCTACAAAGTCAGACTCATCAATGTCAGGGAACGGTCAATCTCCAACTGTTGTTGGCAGCGGAAGTGCGATGGATAAGAATCGGACTTCGAAGTCTGATGGTACAAATGACGTGTCTAATTTACAACAAGGGTCTTCTGGTCCTTCAATTGTATCAGAAACAGAGAAGTCAGTGGATCAACAAGGGCAAGAGGCCACTGAAAATCCTACCTCTTCCAATGTTGCAAAGGGTGTTGAAAATGCTAAACCTGCTTCCCTGGGTTTAGTAAATAGTTCCAATATTATACAGCCAGGATTGGCTTTGCCATCTTCATCTCCTGCATCTGATGACATAAGTAAGAGTGGTTTGGTTGATTCAGGTACCACAAAATATTCTCTTTCCTTTATGTGATCTTTATTTACTATCATCTTCGTTAGAAATATGCCCTGCTTACCTTCTTAACTATTCATGTTCATTAGTACTTTGATGTGTAATTATGTCTTATTATATAGACACTTTGAATATCCCAGAAACTTCACTTCAATTAGATGTGTAACTCTGAATAATAACTTGTTATTGCTATACTTTCTTCTGTATTTGACCATTGATTGTCCTTGCTTCTTTTTTTCCCGTTTGGCTACATTTTGTTTGTCTATATTTGTGGTTTTAATATGTTCTTTTCCTTTTCGAACTTGTTGTCTTGTTTGTTTGTTATTTATTTATTTATTTATCAATACGTGTTTCATTTTGGGAAAATTACAGAAAAATGGTAACAACAAATTATTGCCAAATAGGGGGAATAAAAAATATTTGCACTTGACATGGAAACTTTAAAAAAATTAAAAAACATTGTGCCATTCAATCAATTGCCTTCCAGCCCATTTCCCTCTTCCCTCTCTCTTCCCTTTCATTCCCCACCTCTATAAACCCTAATCCAGAGCCAGCCAACCCTTTCTGGTTTCGATATCCCCTTCTCCTCCTCCCCCCACCACCACTGACCACTCCCCCACCCTCATCTGCCTCTTTCCGACCACTATTGCTTAATAAAGTTCTTTCTCTTTAAAGCAAACACTGCACTATTTAGATAGAAAAGGCCAGATTCGAGCGTTGGCAGAGTGCTGGTTTTTTTTTTTTTTGGGTCTAGAATGGGAACTGTAGTTCTAGTTTGAAATATGAAAGAAGTTTTCAAGAGTCAAGCCAACCAAGAGTGCCCTTACTTTATCTTTTTTAAAAGAGCTCAATATGTATGGTATTTACTTTGCAAAATGCCATGTATGGTATTTTCTTGTCGACCCAAATTGGGAAATGTGATCAATAATGTTTTGGCTGTCTACTGACTTTAATCCCTTAAATGTTTGAATATACGTAGGTTGGATCAGAAACCATATTTCACAATGAGTGGTAGATGAAAGTGTTATTACATATATCTTTGTTATTGTAATAATTGTATGGATGATGAGTTCAATCACTTCCTTTATCCATGCTAATATGAGAGGTTCTAATCATCTGAATTGTTTAAATTGATTCATTGGCCTGCCACTTTACACATCAATTGTGAAGTCCCTCATATAATGATGTGACACCATTTTCATAAAATCAGGTTGGATGCTGCTGAGCAAGATTCTTGTGAAAGTTATCTCTTGCATTTTTCATTCATTATCTTCTCAAAACCTTAAAATTTTCATTTGCTTAGCTTGCCTTTGCCTTTGAAGAAAACACTCCTTGTTATTCACATGTTTGTATGAAATTCCCTTTACCTTATGGAAAAAGGTCATTTGTTTCTCACTTGGGCATCCAATGTGATTGGTGACTTCGTTGTTTTAAGTTTTTGCTCAAGTCTTAGATGGCTCCCAAATAATTGAAAGCCTTCAGTGCCACTTTTGCCCAGGGTTTCCATTATCAAGTGTGGGATATTTGGGAACAATTAATTTGAAGATTAACGTGTTTTCTTCCATGCAGGTTATAGTTTTCAGTATATGTTGCAACTTGTAGGGACTAAAGATGATCTAATTTTACATCTAACTACTCAGCAATGTTGCTTTTTTTTTTCGGTAGTCCTAGTGCTTGTCCATCTTAGCAAATTCATCTCTGCACTCATCTTTTGGAGATGTTTTTTCTTGATTCCTCAAAACTTTGCATATGATGTGTGCCAAACATAGATATCACAAAGGGAGTACCTCATGTTTGAACTTTAAAGAATCACCTTATGCCACCTGCACTCTTTTGTGGTGGGCTTCGATGGAATTCTTCGGTTGTATGTTATTGCATGCCAGAGAATCATCCACATTTTTTCCAAATGCTGATATTACAACAAATGTTTTCTGAAAGTAACCTTTCATGGTCTCTAGGTACATGTGATTATCTTCTGGTGCTTATGCTATCTGCTTAATAATAGTTGAATGAACAATGCTCTTAGTTCCCTTTAATGAAAATACCTTAACTCATGTCATGTTGGTTTTTAATCTTGTATTGCACTACTGTTATGCGTGGAAAATCATAATGCAGCAGCTCCTCGAATCCTCGGTTTGCTTAACATTCTTTGAGGGAAGAATGGTGGACAATAAGCCACTGTGGAGATTCTAATTGTTCTTCTCTGTGAATACGGAAGCATTTTTACATAACTCTAGCTGATGATGCTAAAATATATTCACAGTGGTTAATACTTCCTACAGTTCCTAGAGAAGAATCTTCCTTCTTATTACGTCTCTGCTTTCCTACTTGTGATGAATTTTATCTTCCTGCTTACTCGCTACAAAAAAATGATGATTTCTTATGTAGATATTTCAGCAATGATGGTGATGGGAAGAAGTTTTGTTGTGAACTAAATGCTGAGTAAATTTTGGGTCTCATGTTTGGCTAGAAGTGGTTTTCCATTAAAACGTATTTGTCCAGAGGTGTGCTTACCAGCACATGTTGATGTCTCAAGGATTTGTGACTTTACCAGCACCAATAAGTATATGGCCATATCATTTTGATGGCAGGCTGAAACACATGTTTACTGATTTTTGTGAATAAATATGGTCACCCTGTCTGCTGAGATGATGAATTTCATGCAAACTTAGCTTCTCTCTCCCTTATGATGTTCTTTTTGGATTTTTTTTGTTGTCATTTTTTGGGCATCTTATTGTGAGTCATTGAAGAGTAAAATTTTCTCACCTGAGCATCTCTCTTTACAAGTCTGATGTATATTACCAGGTCCAGAGCTGAAGACTACTTTTATTCTTTACAAGTTTGATTCTTTCCATAGGAAAATTTAAAAAAAAAGAAAAGAAAAAGAAAGTATGGTACTTTTTACTTAATATGTATATTTCTTGTTTAAACTCATACATTTGGTTTGTCCTTGGTTTCTATTTAGGCTGTAATCTGTACCATGGAAAATGGGTACATGATTCAATTGGACCATTATACAGAAATGATTCATGCCCAGTGCTGAGCCAGATGCAGAACTGCCAGGGAAATGGGAGGCCTGACAAAGACTATGAAAATTGGCGATGGCAACCTAACAAGTGTGACCTCCCAAGATTTGATGCTAAAAAATTTCTAGAGTTGATGAGAGGGAAGACATTAGCTTTCATCGGTGACTCAGTTGCTCGGAACCAGATGGAATCACTATTGTGCATCCTTTGGCAGGCAAGTATAAAAAACTTTATATAGTGATATGACTATACGAAAGGAATGCTGCTCCAAACTGGTGTTTGCTAGTATGATGAGGTGGCCAATGGCCCAACCATATCCTGATAGGATTTTTCTCCCTAAATTCCACAAGTTTCCCTATGTGAATTACAAATTTTTCTTTCAGTTTGCTAGCAAGGCTGAAAGAAAATTGGTTATTTGAGAAATTTTGCCTCATATCAGCTACCAACAGTTTGGTTGTGCTTACTTAATTTTTTGATTGGTTACTTTGAAGTAGTCCAATTTTTTATTTGAGTAATTTTTTGTGGTTCCAGTTTTGATAAAATTCTCTTAATTAGTCTTGTCATCTTAAGAACACTAAATTTCTATACTCTTCCAATAATCTGGGTAATCTTTTCATTAGATTTCTTGAAGTAGGTGGTTTTTTCATAGGCAAGAGTTTTACATATAGCTTACTCGTTTTGGATTTATAAGTGGGACAATGTTGGAAAAGATTTGCAGGGTTGCTTAGTCCAGGCTTAATTATTGGACTGCAAAAGATCCTCTCAATTTTGAAAATGGGTATCGGCATATGGTTAGGTGGTTCACTAAAATATTAGTTAATATTTAAGTTGTGATGTTAATGAAACATGTGTTGCAGAAATAAGAAAAACTAAAATACATGCAACTACTTACATTGTATATTTTTCTAGGTCATGTCAATATTTAAGGTTGTAAGTTAGGCCTGTCCACCTAGCATGGTTGAAACATGTGCCAGCGTAGAATCTCTACTGAGGGCTTTCTTGCCAAATTGCATGGCTTGGCTTGTATTTATTCTGCTTGGGCTTATAAATATTTTTTCACTTGCATGTATATATATATATTTGCTTCTGGCTGTCAAATACAAAGAAAGCAAGTTCTATTCCTATGGCAATGAAGTTCACTTATCTGCGTTACCATACCACAGCCTGTTCATGGCATATATGTTGTATGTGATCAAAAGAAGCCGTCTTGTCTTCAGTTTGGCGGTTGGGGGTTGAACTTTCAAGAGAAAAGAATTTCTCTAAAAATAATTTTTTAGTGCTTGACCTGCCAAGATATAAAATATAAATTATGAGGACTCCTTGTCCTCTACCTTTTCTATTGCTTTACTTAATAAATTCCGTTGTTGATGTATAAAAAAAAAAAAATACATACATAATTCACTAGGCTAGGGGCACACTGGATAATTAAATTTATCTCTTATCAAATTTTCCGACTTCTGTGGAATGTTCTTATTGTATTACACTTGCATCTGATTATTTTATTTAATAATTCTGGGATTCTTTCAGGCTGAAGTTCCAAAAAACCGTGGGAACAAAAGAATGCAACGTTACTATTTCAGGTCAACGTCTACAATGATTGTCCGAATATGGTCCTCATGGCTTGTCCATCAAACACCTGAGCCATTTGATTTTATTCCGAAGGGTGTGGTGAAGCTCCACCTTGATGCTCCTGATGAGGGCTTCATGGAATTTGTCCCAAATTTCGATGTGATTGTTCTTTCATCTGGCCACTGGTTTGCGAAGCAATCGGTCTATATCTTGAACAATGAGATTGTGGGAGGACAGTTATGGTGGCCAGACAAGAAACGCCCAATGAAAGTTAACAACATTGAGGCTTTTGGAACATCTGTTGAAACAATTCTCAGTGCCCTTGCTACACATCCAAATTACACTGGTCTGACCATCGTACGTTCTTTTTCACCTGATCATTATGAGGGTGGGGCATGGAATACAGGAGGATCGTGCACAGGAAAGGTAAATCCTGCCTTAGATGGTGAATTAGTGGAAAATGGATTTACAAATATAATGCACGAGAAACAGGTGGCGGGTTTTGAACGTGCAATCAAAAAGATGACAAACAAATCAAAATTGAAGTTTATGGACATCACAGGAGTCTTTGCATACCGCCATGATGGGCATCCAGGCCCATATAGGAGCACAGACCCAAACAAGATCACCAAACGTGGGCCCAATGGGAAGCCCCCACCACAAGATTGCTTACACTGGTGTATGCCAGGTCCGGTTGATACGTGGAATGAACTGGTGCTTGAAATAATTAGCAGAGAATTTGAGGGAAACCAGAGCCTTCATTCCTGAGTCATTCACTGTATGTTGCAAACTAATCATCATTCTTGGAAGTTTGATATGTTACGGATAGGTGTGGAAAAACTAGTAAGTTATGGCTAGGTGAGTGTTTACCTAGTCCTATTCTTTAAAGATACCTTGTAGAGAGAAATATCATTTGTAACACGCAGATAGTTTGTGAATAACAAGCTTATTTTGTTGTTAAATTATAAAAATGTATTTGCAGACATCTTTACTTCTATTCCATTTTCAGCTCCATCATTGTATGTCAATGGAAAAAAATTGAGCCGGTTTGGAATTACCATTAATTACTTTTGTCAAAATCTTTTTCCGTACAGTGCATTTAACTTTTCATTCAGTTATGTAAAGTTATGAAGGTAATTTACCAGCCCTGGATGATCATTCCCCGAGGCAATGTATGAACAAAATAAACACAAAATGTTAGTGACTACAAGAAGGTAATTTGACGCTTCTTCTTGTACTTGAAATGCTTCTTATCCTTCTCACGTCTCTCTTTATGCTTTTATTTATGCTGTGTAAGGGTGCTTTACTTCTTTGAAATGTTTCTCCTCTCTCTCTCTCTCTCTGCTTTATGTCTTTTTCCTTTTCCTTTTTCTTTTGTGTGCGCTGTGTAAGGGGTGGAGTTGGGGTGACTGTTGTTTGTTCTTTCATTTATTTTTTAAATTTTTTTATTTTAATTTAAAGTCTTTGTTCTTCTTCCCTTGGTTGCATGGAAAACTTTAGATTGTTTTAACTAATTTTGTCTTTTCCCATGGAATGGCGATGGGGCTGGGCTAGGTTTATGGTATCCCATCCCGACAAACAATGGGGCGGGGAGAAGGGGGTGATACTAATGAGAGATGATATGGTATATGAATAAAAACAATTGATGAGTAATAGTTAAAAAGATTCAAGATGAGAGATAGAGATGTGAAAAATGAGAGATGTGTGAATATTTTAGTATTTTATTCTGATCATATTTAAAGTAAATCTCATCCCCAAGAACACGGGAAAAATAGCCCGCTGTGCCTTAAAATGGTATAGTTTTAGTTATCCCTAAAACCAAAATGATGTAAACTCCCTCAAAATTGAAATGGTACATGAGGAAAAACATTTGATCCATCTGGGCCTAAATGGAGTTGAAATGACATTGAAACGTCTGTTTGTTTGTTTTTGTTTTGTGCTTGTGTGGTTTTCTTTTTTTGTTTTTCTGTCTTTTTTTCATCTTTCCTAGACAGGTTGAGATTTGGTTTCATAAAATGCTTCAAATATGCATACCAATTATCTTGAAAATCACTTGAAATACTAAGCAGCTAGTAAAGAATCCCCTGGTTCTCAAAAAAAAAATAATAAAATAGTAAGAATCCCCATGTACACTACCTTCTAAACCTTTATAACTAATTTTTTAGGCTGTCATATATCACCAGCCTCATGATTTTCTTGATATAGTGAATTTTATACAAATACAGTATTTATTATGAAATCTATATAACAACATATATATATATATATATATAATCTTTTCATTGCTCTCTTCTAATGACACCCTCTCTCTGTCCACTCCATTAAATTCAGTGAAAGTCCAAGAACAAAATGGACCATGTGTGTTGGAGAAAAAGCATCAGTTTCACAGGTGAAATACATTCAGAAAATTTTGAGACCTCACAATATTAAAATAAGATATTATTTTATTTGGTCTTTACAAAATTGGGCTTTTGGTAATATATATATATATTTTGAAAATTATTGCATTTGGTAACGTTTACGTTTTTGGTTTATGTTTACAAAAATTTTATAAACTGATTTTTGTTTATTTTTAGAAAAATATAAATTACAAACGCGTTTGGTTTGAACAAAATGTTTAAAAACATAAACTAAAAAATATGTTTGTTCCGAACTAAAATATTTATATTTATTTTTATTATTTATGACAATGGGATCACACATATTATAATTGAAAACAATTAATTAAAAAAATATTTGAAAAAAAAAATTAATTGAAAAAAATAATTGGAAAAAAAATTAATTGAAAAAAAAAGTTATTTGAAAATAAAATTAATTGAAAAAAAAAATTAATTGAAAAAAAATAATTTGAAAAAAAAATTATTTAAAAAAAATAATTGAAAATAAATTATTTGAAAAAAAAAATTAATTGAAAAAAAATTGAAAACTGAAAAAATAAACTCATTTTTTGAGTTTGCATTTTTTTCTCAAATTTATAAACTGAAACAACCATTTATAAACTAACAAAATTATCAAATAAATTTTTATGACAGTTTTTAAAATTTTTGTAAATATAAACTGAAAATTAAAAACTGAATAGTTACTAAACATGTCCTTAGAGATCCCAATTAATATACTAAGCAGTATTTTGAAAAGATAATTAAAAATTAACTTTTAACTTTTTTATAAGAGAAAAAAATGAATTAAAAGTTAAAAATTAACTTTTAATCCACTTCTTAAAATAGCTCTAATAACCTAATGGTTTAGTTATTTTCAAATAGTATCATATGAATTTAAGCTATGTACGTTCCTTGTCTCATCACAAGTATGAAATGTGCAACCTCTGCTGAGGGAACCTTCCTCTGCCTAGCTGGTCCTGGCTCCAATTTCGAAGACAACCATGAATACTGTTATTTGTTTAACTTTTGATAGTAATGATAGATATTTTCACAAAATATAATTTTTACAATCTTTAAAATAATTTAAATTATTCATGTTACTGTTAGATATAATTTTTTAAAAATAATTTAAATACATCAATAATCAATACATCAATAAAAATCATGGAAGAGTTTTCTTCTGTGAGAGTCCCAAACATTTTCTAACTTTTGGTTCAACAGTGAAAAGTGGGAGGGAGGGTTTAGCATCATATTTTTCGAACTCCTTTAGTAATTGGGTAAAATTTATTATTGAAAATCAATTTATAGTACAACGTATTGATTGATTTATTTTTAATTGGATTGACTTTTTTTTTTTTAAAACTTAACATATTAAATCCTAAATATGTATTTTTTATTAAAAATTTATGACATCGTATATTCTATTCAGTTCTTTGATAGATGCCTAGAGGGTCTCTGATGTTAAAATTATTTATTAAAGTGTGTGTTAATTTTTACAAATAAAAATAATGTGAAATTTAATTTAATTAACGTGTTAAGGGTTTACTATTTTACAGAGTAAATGAGTATTTCGATAAAATAAAATATAAAAAAATGTCGTCCAATATTATTAATTTGTCACTTTCGGTCCTCTCTCTTCCCTTTCCTTTCAACTCACTGTCCTCTTTCTTTATTAATTTGTCTATGGAAATTTCAAAACAAACACTAAATGACACAATTTCTAACACACTACTTAGCACATGCGTTGGAGATACCTTAATAACAAGTAGTTCAATGAATGTGATCCCAATAAGAAGGGAGGTTAGTACAATTTCTTTTTGTGAGTTGAATTTCTTTACCTTGGAATTTTTACATGAGAGAATTTGAGGTGTTCATAGGATTCATTATGAGTCTCATTTTAATTATTTAAATTGTTTATTTTGTAAAATTTTTAATGTATATTATTCATGAAAAAATTTAAGATGATTCGGTAATCATACCATTTTCATTTTATCGTATTTGTCTCTAAAAATATGAATGATCTATTTCAACTATATATTTGGCGTTCATTTTTTCATAGACACGTGTAATAAAATGAAAAGATTGTGATTCTTGAATCGAATTAATTTTTTTCTATGGATAATATGCATTGAGAACCCTGCACAATAAATAGTTTGGATTATCAAAACGAGACCCGTAGTAGGGCCTATAAGCCCCTCAAGTTTTTTCATGTTGAGCCCAACCAATTTTTTTCTCATACTAATAAAATCAACATTAATTTATGTTAGAAAACTAATTTATAAATAAAAAATTTATTTAGAAAATATATTAAAATTATGTGTCAATTGTAAATTTGAAATTATAAAGAAAATGATGAGTATTTTTATTAAAAATGAACAGACCACATGAAATTGTTTAGTTTTGATTGGTTTTTTAAAATTTGAGTTTTTTTATTTTTTGTTTTTTATTTTTTTTTGTATTTTTAGTGAATTTTTTTAACAAAAATGAGTGTGACCCACACTGGGGTGACGCCCACCACCTCCAGTGAATGTTCATTGGTCCAATTTTTATTATTATTATTTTTTTGTCCTCCTCTCATTGACCCCCACGTGTATGTAAGGGTGGTGGGGGTCACCCCTAAGTGAGGGTCTGTATCACTTTTGTTTTTTTAATATTTTAATTAATTTTTTTTTAAAACTTTTTAAATGTACTTAACCTAGATGCACCTAAATAGTGAAATATTTGTAAAAATAAATTTTAAAAAATCAATAAATACACGAGAATATGAAAATACATTGAATTTTTGTATTTTTAATATTTAGTGAATTTTTAAATATTTTTGTACAAATATTATTATACTTTTTTAGTATATTTATATTAGGTATATTTACAAATTAAAAAATTACTTAAAATATTTTTAAAAATTCAGAAAAAATAAAAAAATGCATAAAACAAAAGCGCAATTTTCAAAAAAAGAAGAATAAACCAAACAACATTTATTTATTTTTTTATTTTTTTGGGTACATCGGAAGATAAAAGAAACACACAGGGACTACACCCTAGATCCCTCCATAGAGAGGTGAACAATGTCCTCGACTAACAGCGGCCGAAGTTCCGCAGGTGGGTCTTGAACAATAAGCAACTCCGCTGGCTGATATTCACCTAGCTTTGCCATTGCATCTGCACAAATGTTGGCGTCCCTTCGAATATGCTGGATGGTGCAGTCACAACCGCGCATGGTAATACGAGCATCTTCCACAATGCCCCGAAAAGGGCATCTCTCTCCTATGTCTTTACTCAATAGTTGAACCACTTGCTCCGCATCCATTTCTATAATCACTTGATTGAATCCTCTTTGGAGAATGATGGTAAGCCCTTTGTAGACAGCCCAAAGTTCGGCTTCAAGCCTAGTGCATATCTCAGGCTTGCCGTAATACCCACTGATCCATGACCCTTTTTCATCACGAAATACTCACCACCTCTAGACCTGCGAGTGCTACCGTCTGTGTTCAGCTTGATTTTTCCTGCATTTGGACAAGACCACTTAGTTAGACTTTTAGTTTTAATATGCGCTGTGACATCAAGCTTAAAAGCACGAAAAATCTCTTTTCTATAATCTAAAATGGATTTCACACTCTCATAAATGTTCATAACTTTATGTTCAAAACTTTATGTTCAAAAACCCTTTTGTTACGATTTTTCCAAATAGTCCACAATGAAATAAGGAATAAGTTAGGATTTTTGTGCTTTCCTTTCATATTTTGAATGATCCAATCTTTCCAAGGTAGAGATAGCATGTTGGAATGCCATTCCCTGCCAAAGATTTGATACCATATCTGAAGAGCTTGAGGACAAAGCCTAAGCAAGTGTTCAATGGTTTCTATATTCACATAGTACGGGCATTTGGGATCATTTGTGATCCCCCTCGTGGCTCTCTTATGATTAGTGAGAAGCTTGTCGTGGAGAACAAGCCACAAAAAACTCTTAAGTTTCAAAGGAACCTTGAGTTTCCAGATCCAACCCCAATCCCCCATATGGTTTTGTTGATCAACAATTAAATCATACGCACTTGCTGTAGAGAACTCTCCATCAGAGGATTTAATCCATCTGGGAGTGTCTTCTCCATCATTGGTTTGGGAGGGTTGTAATTGTAAAATGTCAGCAACCATATTCAAAGGTAAGGAGGTTGTAGACGTCCCCGAACGCCCCGGGAGGGTGAGTCCCGTTCTGTTCATTTGGGGTCACTACAGTTCAGGCTCTCAAATCGTCACGGTTCTAAATCTGGACCAAAGAGTCCAAATCCGGCAAATCGTTTTGAGAAAACAGATTTTGAAAGAAGTGCCAAACATGGACTGCTTTGCCAGATACAGAGTCGCCACCTAAATATTTTATTAAGGGGGAATTTAGGAAATCCTGACTCGGTGCCAAAGGCCACGTGTCCGTCATCACCAAAGTTGCCTCGGCTCGGGAGCTTGGGTACGATCGGGGAAGGTCAGCTATGAGCACCCCCTCTCGCCCGGTCCGAAGACCGGCCTCTACTAACCATGATATCCTGTTTTGAAAACGTTATGTGTTCTTAAACCAATTGTTAGCCTAGAATTACTATGTTATGCGCGCAGCAAACAAGTATAGACCAAATCGCCCAAATTGGAACAAAACATTTCACGTTCGTTTTGAAAATGGTTTGCTACTCGCAAGTAGGCTAAAATGCAGATTTTGCCACCCTGCCTTGTCATCTACTGGAAAACATCATATTTTTGGTCCCTATTCAGTGTTGTAGAAGGGTATTTTTCTGTTTGGGTTTTGCATCTACCACTTGCTTCATTACCTCCCTTGCGGAGCCGTTTTTGTATGCCATTTTAGCCCTATAAGTCCAACTTTCAAAACCGGCTTCGCGTAGCGTATAAGTCCAACTTTCAAAACCGGCTTCGCGTAGCGTATAAGTCCAAGCCAGTTATCTTTTTTCTTAGTTAATTTGTAAATTAATTAGGAATCTGTTATTATTTGGACTGTATTATTTGGACTGTACTATTCATTCGGACCCTCTGCGCGAGGCATAACTGTAATAAGTGTCGTGGTGTGTGTTGTATGTTCCAATCCCACGTCTTTCTTCCCTTTTATTTACCTGCTTATGATGGTTAGATTAGGGCATGTTTCAATTAGCATACAGTATGACAACCATGTTTGCATCATTCATCTGTTTTGCTTGCACCGGGCTCGGCGCATCATACTAACTGCATTTATATTTTCAATTCCAAATTGAATACATGTTAGCTGTAGCATTTCATATGCCATGTTTAGAATAGCCGAGCCTGCTAATGTTGCATTTTTGCACTGTGTTGCATTAGGCACTTCTGTATAATTAGGATCATGCATAGATTTCTAATCAGCTTCTTTTTTTGGCTTGGAGTACTCGGTAGTTTTATGCTTTAGTATCCTTGCATGCGTGTTGAGTGACTGCCATGAATAGCATGCTTACCATGAGGCTATGTGCTTATGTGATATAACTGCCTGAATGCCTGTGGGTGAAGGCTGGGTTATTTGGATTGGAACAAATCATCAACTGTGAGTTTTAAGCCCACTAGATAGTGGCAAAACATCTTTTTCTTAAAGCCCACCTGAGGGTGGCAAAATCTGCATTTTAAGCATACTTGCGAGTAGCAAACCATCTTTCAAAAACAAACATGAAATGTTTTTTCCAATTCAGGCGATCCAGTCTATACTTGTATGCTGTGCGCATCACATAGTAATCTGGCTAATAACCAGAATAAGAACACATAATGTTTTCAAAAATAGATAACATGGTTAGTAAAGGCGATCTTTGATCGGGCGAGTGGGGGTGCTCACGGAAGTGACCTTCCCCAATCGTACCCAAGTTCCCGAGCCGAGGCAACTTTGGTGATGACGGACACGTGGCCTTAGGCAAACGAGTCAGGGTTTCCTAAATTTCCCCCCAAAATAAAATATTTAGGTGGCGACTCTATATCTGGCAAAGCAGTCCATGTTTGGCACTTCTTTCAAAATCTGTTTTCTCAAAACGATTTGCCGGATTTGGACTCTTTGGTCCAGATTTAGAACCGTGACGATTTGAGAGCCTGAACTGTAGTGACCCCAAATGAACAGAACGGGACTCACCCTCCCGGGCGTTCCGGGACGTCTACAACCTCCTTACCTTTGAATATGGTTGCTGACATTTTACAATTACAACCCTCCCAAACCAATGATGGAGAAGACACTCCCAGATGGATTAAATCCTCTGATGGAGAGTTCTCTACAGCAAGTGCGTATGATTTAATTGTTGATCAACAAAAACCATATGGGGGATTGGGGTTGGATCTGGAAACTCAAGGTTCCTTTGAAACTTAAGAGTTTTTTGTGGCTTGTTCTCCACGACAAGCTTCTCACTAATCATAAGAGAGCCACGAGGGGGATCACAAATGATCCCAAATCGCCCGTACTATGTGAATATAGAAACCATTGAACACTTGCTTAGGCTTTGTCCTCAAGCTCTTCAGATATGGTATCAAATCTTTGGCAGGGAATGGCATTCCAACATGCTATCTCTACCTTGGAAAGATTGGATCATTCAAAATATGAAAGGAAAGCACAAAAATCCTAACTTATTCCTTATTTCATTGTGGACTATTTGGAAAAATCGTTAACAAAAGGGTTTTTGAACATAAAGTTTTTGAACATAAAGTTATGAACATTTATGAGAGTGTGAAATCCATTTTTGATTATAGAAAAGAGATTTTTTCGTGCTTTTAAGCTTGATGTCACAGCGCATATTAAAACTAAAAGTCTAACTAAGTGGTCTTGTCCAAATGCAGGAAAAATCAAGCTGAACACAGACGGTAGCACTCGCAGGTCTAGAGGTGGTGAGTATTTCGTGATGAAAAAGGGTCATGGATCAGTGGGTATTACGGCAAGCCTGAGATATGCACTAGGCTGAAGCCGAACTTTGGGCTGTCTACAAAGGGCTTACCATCATTCTCCAAAGAGGATTCAATCAAGTGATTATAGAAATGGATGCGGAGCAAGTGGTTCAACTATTGAGTAAAGACATAGGAGAGAGATGCCCTTTTCGGGGCATTGTGGAGAGATGCTCGTATTACCATGCGCGGTTGTGACTTCGCACCACTCCAGCATATTCGAAGGGACGCCAACATTTGTGCAGATGCAATGGCAAAGCTAGGTGAATATCAGCCAACGGAGTTGCTT